TAAAAATCCTGCCATGTGAATTCATGGATTTTTTTTTCACATTCTGTCTCTCACAGTTGAAGTGTACCTATGATGTAAATTACTGACCTCTGTCATCATTTTAAGTGGGAGAACTTGCACAATCGGTGGCTGACTAAATACTTTTTTGCCCCACTGTATGTCAGGTGGGGCCTTTGACTCCTCCCTTTTCCTGGGACTTCTTTCGATGATATAGATCTTCGTCTCCCCTCTCCCTGCCACACCTGGTGTGGAGTGTCTGCCTGAATGTTCGTGGCTCCCCGGTCAGGGGGTTTAAGATTTTTGGCATCTGCCTGATCAATCGTGGTGGCTGCCTGGTGGGGTCTGGGTACCTGGGCTCTGCAGGGTCCCAGGCGGTGGGTGGGAGGTTGCAGGTGGGCCTGTGGGCTTGCCGCTGATATCCCCCGGGTCTGCCAGTTGCTGGTTGTGGCCCCCCGGGGCGATTCTCTGTGCCTCTCAAAGGGGCGGGGGCCTTTCTGGTTGCGGTCTCCTTGGGGTTTTTGTGTTCTGAGGCAGTGCCTGGATCTCTGGGACTTGGAGCTCTCTTAGTCTCCTACACATCTTTGGGGGCAGATCTGTGGCCCCTCACACTCTCTATTGGACGCTCCTATAGAGAAACCTTACATAAACAAACGCGTGTACACACATAGGTGCTCACACGGTGCTCTCATAAGTATGGGCTTGGGCACGTTCAACACATGTCTTAAGGCTGTCGTTGCAACTAAATGCACAATGATTTATTATTATCGTGTGATTGTATTTCTTCAAGTTGACACAGTGATAGCTTGCTCCTGTTGTGTTGTTGTGTGTCCCATTTTTTCTCTTCTTTCTCTTTCTGCAGGCCTAGAAGCAGACTCTTGTTCATTGTTTATTTTTGTGGACTCACATGATAACATAGAAATCTATAGTGTTGGTGTTGCTTTTCTAATAGTGCTGTCATGTGTTTTATGTTTCAAACAGCATTCACCATGCCTGGCAAAGAGTCCAAACGCAAGGCAGATGCTGCTAAGCACAGCAATCGTCCACCTCCGCCGGGGCATTTTAAATATGGGGGAGTTCAGGGTGCAGCTATTACTGTTGTTGCTTTAACAAAGCACAAACAGAAGAGTGTTTTCTCTTGGGATTTTGCCGTGTTGGATAAGGTTGTTGAGTTAGGTGATAAGCTGTACACAGATTTACGCGACAACTAAAAGATTAGTGGTCGACATGAGTTTCTCTCTGTTCCAGACTTGCCAAAGGAAATTGACATGGAAGAACAGCGTTTTAAGCTTGTGTACGGGGATTTTGTTTCAGGAGATGTAGATGTAGTTGAAGGCGAGTTAATAGATGCTGGTGTGTACACTCCTCTCCTGGATAGATTGAAGAAGATGTGCACACAGCATGAAACTTGCATTATGACTTTAGGTGGCAATACTTGCGCTATCATTTGTGATAATGGACGTTATGCTGTAGTAGATTCCCATGCACGCTCTGCAGACGGCATGGTAGACCCGATAGGACAGAGTGTAGTTCTGTACTTTGCGAACCTTGATAATGTTTTTCAACATTTTCAGAGGTTTTCTAGTAAACTGGTGGGATCTCAGAAGTTATTTGAGATCACTGGAGTGGATATTGTTCAGATGGATGATGCTAGTACTAAAGATTTTCATTTCAGTCCTTTTTCTAGAGACGTGTCACAGGTGTTGAGTAAACGTCTGAATGTAAAGTCTGCGATGGTTGCTGAATCATCTCGTGTTCCTTCATGTAGCACAAGTGTGGTTAATATTGATGATGACAACAGTATTGTAGACAATGATACAATTTTAAGCTCACTTACAGGATCATTTAATCAGAGCGATGGGCGTTTTAAATATGGCGGCGTTCAGTGTGCAGCAATTAGTCTTGTTGCTTTAACTAAGCACAACATACAAAGTGTTTTTCATGGGATTTTGCCATGTTGGACAATGTTGTTGTTTTGGGCGATGAGCTGTACACATATTTGCGTGACAGTAATATAATAAGTGCTGGGAATGTGTTTCTTTCTGTTCCAGAGTTGCCAAAGGAAATTGTTATGGGCGAACAGACTTTTAAGTTGAATTATGGGGATTTTGTTTCTGGAGATGTAGACATAGTTGAAGATGAACTTATAAATTCACACAGAATTCTGTGGGTCACAGAAGGGCCATCGTAAGATCAGACTCGCTGTTGTTTCTCATATGTCCAAAAATGAAGAGTATGAGAACTTTCTGGGAAAAGAACATGCTTCTGTGTCAGAATACATAAAAAAATCACAGATGAATTATGTCGGTCACTGTGCTACAGAAGTAGAATTTAGAACTACAGCCAGTGTTTTAGGATTACCCGTATTTATCAACAATGGCACAGATTGGGTCAAATATAGTTCTCAAACTGGTAATTTTGTCACTGAGGGACTATATTCATCAAACTGTAATAATCATTTTGAACCCGTTCTTTGCATAAGACTGGGTAATAAAGAAACATGTTTTGGGTTTTGTAAAGTTGATTCTTTGTCAGACAACGTAAACAAATGCAGAAGGTCAACTATGATGCAGTTAAATGCTGACCCAAACATGGGAAAGATGAAAACGAGGAAGAGTTTTTCCAGATATTTAAAGCAAAAAAGGCCTTACGCAGAAGCCTCTAATTATAAAACGGTAAATGCAGTTAAAGACAAAATAAAAAGTCAGAAGAAAAATGCATACAAGCAAAATGTTGCTTACAGAGTGAAAAAGATCAGTGTGACCAAATTTAAATACAAATTTCTTTTTCACATAAAGAGAAAGTGAAAAAGATGGCTTTGTTTAACTACCATCATAATTTGGCTCACAAAGACAAAGTTAAATGGAGGGCCATTTTCAACTACCATCATAATTTGGCTCTCAAAGACAAAGTTAAGCGGAGGGCCATTTTCAACTACCATCATAATTTGGCTTATCAAGAAAAGCTTAAAAAGATGAGTGTGTATAACTACCATCATAATTTCGCTCATCGTGACAAAATGAAAGAGCTGAGTAGAAAGAAATACCTTAATATTGAGCATAAAACATGTTTAATAGAAAGTATCCAGCATAAAAGAAAGCTGATTAAAGTAAATACACAAAACTTTAATTTTGTTGTAGATCAATTTTTAGAGAAAGTGAAAGATGGACCTGATTTTGTGTGTTGTGTCTGCTCACGGTTGTTGTTTAGACATCAGGTCTTAAACTGTAATCAAGAATACTATAGAAAAATTTAAGAAATGTCACTTATAGCAGATGAATGTGTAAGTGACAATCATCTGCACAAATGCAATGATGCATGTAGATTACCTTGCAAATTGAATGTATGTAGAAATAAATTGTACATCTGTTACACGTGTCATTATAAAATTAGTAAATGTCAGATACCCCCAGAAAGTTCAATCAACAAGCTGACTGTTGATCCCATCCCACCTCAACTGGCACGTTTAAATACATTAGAGCAACATTTAATAGCGATGAATATACCATTCATGAAAATGTTGGCTCTGCCTAAAGGTGGACAAAATGGAATTCATGGTCCTGTAACTTGTGTACCTGCAAATATAGTGCAGAATTGCAGTTTGTTACCACATACCAACATGGGGTCTTTATTACCTGTAAAGTTAAAGCGTAAATTGACATATAAAGGACACTATGATTATCAGTATGTTGACACAGAGCATGTTCAGGAAGCTCTTCAGTATTTAAAACATCATAATTTGCATTATAAAGATATAGAGTTCAATGAGTCTTGGATTAACACATTTACTCAGGAAGATGAGTCATCTGTCTTGGAAGAGGATAGTGGTTCTAGTAAAGATGAAGATACTTGCATAGATGGAGAAGATGAGTTATTGAATGACAGACAACAACACTGTAAGTTTCAGGACACCTGTCTCATGCCAGTAGGTATAGGACAAGAAACGTTGGATCAGTATGTAGATAACATTAAATGTAGCTCCAGGTGAAGGTAACAATCCAGTGAAATTGCTTTCAGATTTTACAAATGAAGCAAAATGTTTTCCCGTCTTGTTTCCTTCAGGATCTAATACTTACTATGAAAGCAGACAATTTCGTTTGACTCTGAATCAGTATTTCAACAACAGGCTTCTTCATGTTGATGGTCAATTTGCTAACAATGTAGAATATATATTTTTTGCACAGTACATGTCTGAACTAGAGCAAGTTGTGTCCAAAGTTTCTATAGCTTTGCGTAAAGGTAAAAGCGGTGAATCTCAGAAGTTGGGTAATTTGATACAGGATCAGGATTCTTTAAATAAGCTGTTAGAGTTTGATGATGGCTACCGGTTTCTTAAACCAATTCGCGGCACACCTGCTTTTTGGCAATCTGCTCAGCGAGACCTCCTGGCTTGGGTAAAAATGTTTGGCAAACCTACTTGGTTCGCATCATTTTCGTCGGCAGATTTGAGGTGGACTAACCTTTATAGTATTTTGAAAAAGGAAGGCAGAACAGAGACAGTGGAACAGCTGGAGGTGGACTAACCTTCTTTATAGTATTTTGAAAAAGGAAGGCAGAACAGAGACAGTGGAACAGCTGGAGTGGGCTGATAAATGTGACCTCCTACGTAGGAATCCAGTAACTGCTGCGCGAATGTTTGATTTTAGATGGCATGTCTTCTTAAGGGAAGTGATAATGTCTCCTGCCAATCCCATTGGTAAAATAAAAGATTATTATTATCGTGTTGAGTTCCAGCAGCGTGGTTCTCCTCACTGTCATTGCCTTTTCTGGGTTTCTAGTGCTCCCATTTTAGATAAGAACACAGATGCGGAGGTCACTGCATTTGTTGATGAATATGTGACATGTGAACTTCCTTCTGAAGACGATTCACTACATGAAGTCGTCTCATCTGTCCAGCAGCATTCTAAACGGCACTCAAAGACTTGTAGAAAGAAAAAAAACTGTCATTTTAATTTTCCACGACCTGCATCTGTTAGAACTTTTATTATTCGCGGTGAAAAGTATCAAGATGCAGTGAAGACTTGCAAGTGTGACAAAACAGATAGCACTGTACAGTGTGCCTGTGCGTCTCAAGATAAAGCACGTAAACAGGAAATGGACAAAGAAGCAGCAAGTGCCATTTTAACTAAAGTAAAGACTGCTATTTCTAGTGAAGACTGTCCATATAACAGTGTAGAAGGTCTGTTTCAGGGCCTGGGTATCAGTCAGGAACTATTTGAGATGGCATATAAACAATTTAGTCGAAATACACATGTTGTTTTGAAAAGGGAAGTTAATGAAATCTGGATTAATCAGTATAGCAAGTTGCTGTTAAAAGCTTGAAATGCTAATCTTGATATCCAGTATTGCGTCGATGCTTATGCATGCTGTGTATACATAATATCTTACATGTCTAAAAGTGAACGGGAAATTGGCCTTCTGCTTGCTAATTCTCAAAGAGAAGCAGCCAAAGATGGTAATCTTAGTGCTAAAGAGGCCTTGAAGAGTCTTGGTAATGTTTACCTTCATAATCGGGATGTTTGTGCTCAGGAAGCAGTCTACAGGCTAACTAACATGCATCTAAAGGAGTGTTCTAGGAAAGTTGTGTTTGTTCCCACTGGTGATAATATAGTGAAAATGAGTTTGCCCATTTCTGTTTTGAGGCAAAAAGCAGCATCACAGGATCTTACTTCAAATGACATGTGGATGACCGGATTAGTTGATCGTTATAAGAGGAGGCCAAATGATGATGTGTTCAATGATATGTGCCTGGCTACGTTTGCATCAGAATATCGTGTTTTGAGTAAAAACAAAAAAAGTAAAAATCCTATAAAGTTAAGTAATGATTTAGGATTTGTTACAAAACGTACTCAGACTAAACCAGCGGTTGTTCGTTACGCGCGTTTCTCTGAAACCAAAGACTCAGAGAAATTTTATCAAAGCATGTTGCAGTTGTTTTTGCCGTATCACCATGATAGTGAACTTAAGCTTAACTGTGAAACCTTTGAGGAATTTTACAGAACTGGTTTAATTAGATTTTTTGATAGAACAAACCACTCGGTAAAAGCTGTTGTACATTTAAATCGGGGTAAATTTGAGTTAGAATCTGATCATTTGGATGCTGTGAATAATATAGTTGGTGATGTAATGTTAGAAGATGCATGGTGTGAGTTGTGTCCGGCAGTTGAAATGGAACGTTTGGAGCGTGTTGAAATACTGAAAGAATCAGAACCAACAGTAAGTGACGAGGCAGAAGTAATCCCAGATTTGGCTCCATGTTCAAACCAAACTGCACATCTAGAGAAGAGAAACACGATGAGGTGAAGGTCTGGCATTGATTAGGTCTTTAAATGATAAACAGTTTTCTGTTTTTAATCAAATCAGGCAGTGGTGTGTAGATAAAGTTAATGGTAATAACCCTGAACCACTGCATGTTTTTGTAACAGGCGGGGCGGGCGTTGGGAAAAGTCATTTAATTCGAGCAATAGAGTATGAAACAGAGATTACTGCCACCAACCTGTAGACATCCTGATAATGCATGTGTAGTATTGACAGCTCCTACTGGGATTGCAGCATATAATTTAGGTGCAACAATAATCCACACTACACTGTCTATAGTAAAGGATGTACGCTTACCGTACACTCCTCTGGGTGAAGAAAAACTATACACTCCTCTGGGTGAAGAAAAACTAAATTCTTTACGTACAAAATATTGTGATCTGCAGCGTCTTATTATTGATGAAATATCAATGGTAGATCATAACCTGTTGTCCTATGTTCATGGTAGATTACGTCAGATTAAACAAACGGGTGACTTTTCACCTTTTGGAATGTCAGTGTAGTGGCTGTTGGAGATTTCTTCCAGCTACCTCCTGTTAAAGGGAAGCCACTCTATTCTGATGGTGTAGGTAGCAACTTATGGTCAAGCCTATTTAAAGTTTTTTTTTTCAGTTACGGGAGAGCAACCTAGCTGGACGCACTCCTCACAAGCTCCTGAAGAAGACCTATTCATGGGTCGAAACGTCGCGATTATGAGCTTGCACTGTAAATAGATTATGTACTTTTATGTTATTTTACCTCTTTTTTGCATTATTAAAAAGAAAGTTCCCAGAGAACACTTTGTGAGCCTCAATCATTTTTGAACTCCACGGCTAACACAGATAGCCCACCACAGTTAGTGAGGTAAGAAAGTTGAAGAATAAATCTTCAACAAAACCATCGGTGCGCTCAGCACAGATGTGGGAGTACGGGGATGAACCGGACGACGACGGATGGACCCGGGTCAGCCGCCGGAGGCCTGGACGGCGCTGCCGTCAACAACAGCCTAACCGTCGTCAGGAACAAACTGACCACCGGGCCTTCCGAGACAGCTCCGGATACCCCCAACGACGGCGCCCTGCCCAACAGCCTCCGAGGCACCGCTCCTACACGGAGGCGCTCAGTTCCGGACCAACGGATGCATGGAGACCACCGACGGGTGAACGCCACGCAGAGCGCAACCACTGGTTCCAACAAGGAACATGGAATCGCAACGACAGAGGCGCACAGAACCGGGCACCATCCCGCGCCCACAACCAGAATCATCAGAACCAAACACAAAGATCCAACGACCTGGACTTTGCTGCGAAAGTTAGAGTTCTGAACAGGCTACTCAAAGCCACACATCACCTGAAAAATGTGGCGGACACCAACAGAAATCCACCAGCAATTCAGCGCATAGCAACGCACCTAGCAACGGTGATTAAACCGGCGGCCCCAAGCAGCAGAACTCTCACACTGATAGACGGAAATGCAAGATCATGGGCCTATAACACGGTTACAATCCTAAAGCAACACTATGAAGACGAGGTGCAAACGGAGAAAGAAACTTTAAAAGCTTACAGCGGAGACTTCCTAGCTCCGTTGGAAATAGCGACCAAGTGGATCAGACGGAACCTGGGTAACCGGTTCCAAACTGAAACGTTCCACGAGATCCAGACCTACGTGCTGTCTGGCCGGATGGATGAGCCTGCAGCTGCACCCGACAGACGGGAGAACACGGAAGACCGAAGGAGACCCACGGTTATCCCCAACCCGCCCCCACCGACAACCCAGGGGAGTCCTGCCCAACGCACCATCTCTCCAACTCCGGACCGGACCACGTCCGCCACCATGACGGAGCCGATCGCCACAGGATGGTCGCCCACAGCGTTGGACATGAAACCATCTCCACAACCTCCTGCACGGGGGACGTCTCCGATCACAACAGCCCCCCCACCGACACCGGAAGCCCTCCCACAGTGCGAGGAGACAACGAGAGTCAGAAAAAGGGCGGAGGAGCAAAGGGTCACATCAAGGCAAGCCACCACTGTGGCAGAAATACACAGAGACCCGACAGAGGCTGAGGCTGCAGATGACATCGAGGACGCCACGACCCAGCCTGATGACGTCCAACCCGAGGATCCAGCCCCCCCTCCCGAACAACAGCCACGCGGATCCAAGCGTGGCTTTAGCTTACGCCCAATCAACAGCCCGAAACCACAGCGGGGAACCTCTCCCGGATGTGGCCACATCCTGGTGCCATCCAGAAACCTACAAAGAAGGATGGAGATGAGCACACTGCGCCAACTTGCCTTCCCCTACAGCCTGCGGTCGCAGCCCAAACCCACCTGCTCCACGGCTGATACATCAGGGGCGGTGACCACGACCCCCCCGGAGGTAAACAGGCCGCACAGGCACCAGAACACCTTCAATAAAACACGTGACTGGTCATTAAATTTACATGAAAAGTGGGTGATTGTGGGTGATTCAAATGTCAGCAAATTTGCCAACCACTACACACAGAATGTACAGAAAGACTCTTTCCCAGGGGCGAAATGGAAGCATGTTGCTGACCTCTTTCGTAAGGCTGTAGTTTCAACTGATGTGAAACAAATAATCCTGTCTTGTGGTATCAATAACCGTTGTCACACAGATAAGAAGGGTTTAATCAGTGAGATCAGGGCAGCGCTACACTGTGCTGCACAAAAGTGCCCCAATGCGGAGATTTTGGTACCTGCAATCAATTTCTCCACAGCTCTACCCCACAAGGAACAAATGATGCTGTTACACCAGAACAGCTTCATCCTCAGCCTCCGACACTGCATCCCCGCTTTGGAACGGAGCAAATTTAAGGTAAAAAAGGACAAGGTCCACTGGACCAAATTCACTGCAAACCGGTTACTCCATCACTGGGGAGAGTGTTTAAAATAAAGAGCCCAGAGAGCCTGCCTCAGCAGGATGGGCTTCAAAGGTCTTTAAATAACATCTGCAACTTGTCTAAACTGTTTGTGCTCTCAGAGGCTCAGTGTTCACTCTTATCCAAGGGTCTAACCTTCATTCCATCCAGGAACAAAACCAGAATGGATGACAACAGACTACAACTTAGATATGATTTACAGAAATACCACAGAAGGATAAAACTGGCTGTTCACTTCACAGATAATAACACCACCAAAATAAAACAGAGCAAGCCGTTCACCTCAGAATCTCAATGGACGCCCCCTGCTGGCTCTCTACCACCTGAGGTGAATAGGCTAATTGATAGAGACCTCATTTATTTTGACGAACGACTTCACACGTCCAGATCAAAACCAAACTTAAGCAGGGAGGAGAGCCAAGCATTGGATGAGCTAACCAAAAATGGGAATATAATTATAAAACCGGCAGACAAGGGCTGCTCTATTGTAATCCTGGACAGAGAGCAGTATATCTGGGAAGGACAAAGGCAACTACTAGACACCAATTATTATAAAAAATTAAACAAACCAATTTTCCCAGAAACAATCCCCCTGGTTTCAAAAATCATTTCACATCTATATGAAAAGAAATTCATTGATGCCAAACAGAGGAATTATTTATTAGGATCAACAGAACCGAGAGCCCGGAGGTTCAATTTGCTACCCAAAATTCATAAGTAACCTGACAAATGGAGCAAACCATATGAGATTCCCCCAGGACATCCGATTGTCTCAGATTGTGGGAGTGAAACTTACCATTCGGCGGAATTCATTGACCACTACCTCACCCCCTTGTCGATTCTACACAGCAGCTACATTAAAGACACATATGATTTTATAGAAAAAATTAAATCCACAACCATACCCGACCAAGCGATGCTATTTACAATGGATGTAGACAGTCTCTACACAAACATTGACATCACAGAAGGCATCACAGCCGTAAAAAACATCCTCATTAATCACCCAAACAGCAAACGTCCGGACAAAGAATTACTCCAACTACTAGATATTAACCTGAGATGTAACGATTTTGAATTCAACAGCCAGTATTTCCTTCAGATCAAAGGGACAGCCATGGCCAAGAAATTTGCCCCAGCCTATGCCAACATATTCATGGCTCAGTGGGAGACAGAGGCCGTCAATAAATGCCCCAAAAAACCACTATATTACTACAGGTACCTGGATGACATCTGGGGCGTCTGGACTCACTCAGAAGAGGACTTCACACAGTTTCTCCTAACCCTTAATACCCACAATCCGTCCATCACACTTAAGGCCACTACCAACACTCAGTCAGTAGATTTCCTGGACACCACCAAATTTAAGGGCCCACAATTTACAAACACTCACAAGTTGGACACCAAAGTGTTCTTTAAACCAACCGACACACACGCACTACTTTTCAAGTCCAGCCACCACCCCAAACACACATACGCAGGACTGGTGAAATCACAGCTACTCAGATTTCACAGAATCTGTACTCGACAGGAGGATTTTGAACAGGCCACAAAAACACTCTTCTCGGCCCTGCAAAACAGGGGCTAATCAAGGTCATTTTTGCAGACATGCAGAGCATCCTTTTTAGAGTCCAGACCCCCCAGTACAGCACCTATGCTCCCAATCATCATGACCTACTCCAAATCAGCCAGACGGCTGATCCACAATATTAAAAACAATTTTACAAAATTCCAATCCGAATCAAAACTCTTAACTGACTTCAGAGTAATTGCGGCCTATAAACAAAATCCAAATCTAAAGGACTGTCTGGTGAAAGCCCAAATTAAACCCCTAAGGGAGCACAAGGTCAAAGGTCACGGGGAATTCTTCAAACAACTACGCTGGGTTCAGAACCAGTCCAACAAATCAGTTTACCCCACCACACTGACAGCGGGACCCAAATCCAAGAATTGTGTGTATCTAATAACATGTAAAACCTGCAAAATTAGATACGTGGGAGAAACAGCCAACACAATTCTAACACGCTTTACCACACATCGTTACAACATCATCCAAAAGAAAGACACACACATCCCCTTGGTCAAACATTTTATTCATCATGGCTGGGATGCATTGACGGCCTCTGTCCTGGAATCCAACCCAAGGTGGTCAGCCCCTCAGAGGAAAAGGGCTGAAAAAACATGGATCAACAGGTTACAAACACATATCCCCGGAGGACTCAATGAGAGATAGTGGACTGACCGGCAGACTACACGCAGGGTGTCTGTGCACGGGAGGTCCAGCTGCCTTGGGCAGCAGGACCCTCCCTAACCCAACCCCCACCCTTACCCTAACCCCACCCTTACCGTAACCCCACCCCCACCCCTAACCCCACCTCCACCCCTAACCCCTAACCCCACCCTAACCCCACCCTTGCCCTAAACCTGACCCTTTGGACGGGTTAAGGCTATGATAAAGATAACCCGTTTAAATTACAGATAAAACA